GCTGATGCTTCGCTTTGTCCTTGAGCTGAGGAGTCAGTGGCATGGGTCCCAGCCTGGGCTGGCGAGTCATGCATGGCCGTGGCACTACCATCACCACTACCACCACCTACTGATGCCTGTGGTCTATCCATGCCAAGTGTAGCCACATCATCCTGACTTTCACTGTCTATTCCTGGTGTAGGGGCACAGGATGTACTCTGGGATGTACTCCAGGATGTACTCCCCTGGGCACCGCATAGGGAACACTACCTGAGTGCATGCAGCAGCATATATACCGACGCTTCACTGGTGAATATGATTCCTCACTATCACTACTTGAATGATCGTCAAGAGCAATAAAATCACAATCCATGTCACTATCATCATCATCATCATTACTGAAGTCTGAGGCCTGGCCACACGAAAATATTAGTTTTCTCTTGCAATGAGGTACAACTGAACGTGAGTGAGATGTGCCCCCACCAGAGGTAGAAGGTTGAGGATCGTCAGGATTTTCTGCACTAGTTTTGATATCCTGGTCATTCCTTTCAGTCACTGACTGATCAAAACCATAGAATTCGTCTTCATTTCCACTTCCATCAGTCAGAACTATCAGACAGAAAAAGGAGAGTTCCAATTCACCTTGGAGTGAGAGCTGCCTTGCGACAAGGCATGGTGAACCAAGGTAACTGAGACGGCACTCCCACAATGCTATGCGGGCGCCTAGAATTCTTGTTTATGTAGCACACACACACCACGCAGACCCATTCTCTCAGATGTAGGCCTACCAGCCTTCTTGTGCTAAATTTGACGCTGCTAGAATTTTGGCGTAGATCTACGGTTTGGACCCTCAACGTATAGCCGTAGATCTACGGCATGGACCCTCAAAGGTTTAAGGGTCTTCAATCTTTCTTCATAAGGAAGAATTCCAAATCTATGTATTAATTTAATCATTCTACACTGAATGTTTTCTAATGAATTTATGTCCATTCTGTAATATGGAGACTAGAACTGAGCTGCATAATCTAGGTGAGGCCTTACCAATGATGTATAAAGCTGTAATATATCCTCTGAACTTCTGTTGCTTACACTTCTTGATATATATCCCAGTAATCTGTTTGCCTTATTACGTGCACTTAGGCATTGCTGTCTTGGTTTAAGCTTACTGCTTATCATAACCCCCAAGTCCTTTTCGCAATCTGTATGGCTAAGTTCTACATTATTTAACTTATAAGTGCTAGGGTTATGGACACTCCCGAGCTTCAAAACCTTGCATTTATCTACACTGAACTGCATCTGCCACTTTTCTGACCAGGTACTGAATTTGTCTAAATCCTCCTGAAGTTCCCTGATATCTACGTTTGAATCAATTATCCTACCTATCTTTGTGTCATTGGTAAATTTGCTCATATCACTTGCAATTCCCTCATCAAGATCATTGATATATATTATAAACAACAAAAGGCCCAAGACTTATCCCTGTGGAACGCCACTTATTACAGATCCGCACTCGGATTTAACCCCATTTATGCATACTCTCTGCTTCCTGTCTGCGAGCCATGACTCAATTCATGAAAGCATTTTTCCCCCAGTGCCATGGGCTGCCACTTTCTTGAACAGTCTTTGGTGTGGTACTCTATTAAAAGCCTTATTAAAATCTAAATAAACAATATCCAATTCTTTATTGTGATCAACAGCCTCAAAAGCTTTACTGAAGAAAGTTAATAAATTAGTTAGACAAGAACAGCCTCTCGTGAATCCATGCTGAGTATCATTAATCAGATTATGCTTATCCAGATGGCTTCTTATAATCTCAGCTATTACTGACTCTAGCAATTTGCCTACAATTGAGGTCAGGCTTATCGGGCGGTATTTTGACGGTAATGACTCGTCTCCTTAAGAACCCTTGAAAAAAGCTCATCAGGACCTGGTGATTTATTTTGTTTCAGTCGGTCCATTTATTTCATAACCATTTCACTAGTGACTGTGAGGTTACATAATTTATCTTCTTCAGGCCCACTATAAAAATTAATTACTGGGATATTGTTAGTGTCTTCTTGTGTAAAAACAGAGAGAGAAAATAATTATTTAAACACGAGCACATTTCGTTCTCTTTGTCACTAAGATGCCCATAGTTACTTTTAAGGAGCCCTATCTTATCTCTAACTTTTGTTCTATACACCTGGAAAAAACTTTTTGGGTTAGTTTTCGAATCCCTAGCAACTTTAATTTCGTACTCCCATTTAGCTTTTCTTATCCCCTATTTAACCCTTTGAGGGTCCGTCCCGTAGATCTACGGCTTTACGTTCAGGGTCCAAACCGTAGATCTACATCATGAGCTCAGCTCACTCTGATAAACTGTGAGTGGTACATTTGGGCCTAGATATGAGAGAATACATCTATGTGGTAAGTGTGCACCACATAAAACAGATCCTGTAGCACGCTGTGTATAATGAGAGAAAAAAACTGAAATCATGATTTTTCAATTAAAACAGCGACTTTGCAGTGTTTTTTCGTATGTTTTTTATAGTTGTATTTGCGATTTCTTGGTCTCATTTGATAGAATGGAAGACATATTACAGAAATAGAGATGATTTTGATTGGTTTTAGCACTGGAAATGACTTGAAACTGAGCTCAAAGTAGCAGAAATGTTAAATTTTTGCCGATATTCAAGAGTAAACAAACGACCTCACACGTCTAATACACGCCAGCTGGTGGGTCTAATATGCATTCACAAATATGGTGATGATATTTATACAATCATTACAGTATTGCATAACAGTAAATCTTCTATTTTTTGGTGTGAATAAAAATTCATTATGTGAATAAAAAAATAAAAAAGGAATTTATTTGTAAAGCTTCAAAACGTAACTAATGAACAGAGGAAATGTTAGTTTAGTTCCAGGAATACCTACATTGTTTATTCTGGACCCTATTTTGAAATTGGAATATTTTGAACTTTGTGTTAAATTGGCCAAATTAACAATTTCCGATCACTTTAATTTGTAGTTGAAACAGTTGACTTGGCGATTTCTTGTGCTCAATCGATAGAATAGAAGTAATACTAGTGAAATAGCTAAGAATTTGGTTGACTGGAATAATGTAATTGGCCTAAAATGGGAGTCAAAGTCGGCAAAATCGCCGATTCGTAAATATCTCTGACACATCAAAATTCGCGAGAGCATAATTTCATCAATTTTCCATCAAATTTCGTACTTTTTGTTTTATTACCTTCACAAAAAGATTCTCTACCATTTCATAAGAAAAAATAACAAATTTTTTTTTTGAAAATTCTTGGACACTGGGGCACCACTTCAGATTTGGGCCTTGGACCCTGAAGCGGTTAATGTCCCTCTTAATGTCAATATACTGATTCATAAGATGACCCTCACCTCTTTTGATATATCTATAAATTCCTTTCTTCTGCCCTAAAAGCCTATTATTCATTTGGGTCATTTTTATTCGATCTAATTTCTTTATATGGGATAAATGTTCTTTGGGTAGCATGCATAGTGTTCGGAAAGCTGTCATATTGATAGCTCTCTTCGTTACCCCAGTCAACAGATGATAAGTGTTCTCTAAGCCCATTGTAATCTGCTAAGTGAAAATCTGGGACCATTACTGAATTATCCCTACTGTCATACTTCCATTCTATGCTAAAGGTAATTAATTTGTGATTGCTTGTGCCGAGTTTCTCTGTAATTTCTAAATTATTAACAAGGGTTTCCTTGTTTGCCAGAACCAAGTCAAGCAGGTTATTTCCCCTTGTAGGTTCTGTCACAAACTGCTTCAAAAAACAGTCCTGAACTACTTCTAAGAAGTCATTTGATTCTAAATTCCCAGTCAAGAAATTCCAATCAATCTGACTAAAGTTAAAGTCCCCTAAAATTACTACATTATCATGGCTTGTGGCCTTAACAATTTCCTTCCAGAGTAATCTCTCTTGGTCCCTATCTGAATTTGGGGAATGGTATATCACTCCTAGAATTAATTTTTCATGCCCCTCTGAAAATTCTATCCAGACAGACTCTGTATGTGTTACTTCAGACTTAATACCCGTTTTTATGCAACAGTTCAAGCGATCTCGGACATACAGTGCCACCCCACCCCACTTCCCGATACTTCTATCTACTTGGAACAATTTAAAACCCTGAATGTGACATTTCGCAGGCATGTCCCGACTTTTGGAATTAAACCATGTCTCAATGATGGCAAATACATCAATGTTACCTGCACTAGCAACTAATCTCAACTTGTCCATCTTATTCCTAGCACTACAGCTATTAGCATAAATATATTTTTAAAGACCCTCCTTTCTCTTCACCCTTCCTGCTCAGTTCCATTTTTCCACTAAACCTATTACTGTCCTTGTCACCTAGTGCCACTGGCTTTCCAATATCCACCTCATTCTGCCTATTACTAGTTCCCCTAGAACTCATAATATTACTACACTGGGACTGCACTGTATTCCTGCCAAAACCCATACCACTAACTATTCCTAGTTTAAAGCCCTAACAGCTCCCTCCACTGCAGTTGCCTATGCCCCCACCTCAGACCTAGATAAGTGAACCCCATCCCTGGCATACATGTCATTCCTGCCATAGAAGAGGTCCCAGTTGTCAATGAATGTTACCGCATTTTCCTTACAGTATTTGTCCAGCCAGCAATTGACACCAATTGCCCTGGACAACCATTTGTTTCCAACTCCTCTCCTTGGCAAAATACCACATATGACAGGGTTCCCACTCACTACAAATATGTTAAGGTAAGTAATGAGTGTACTGTATGTGCATTTTACTATTTTATTGCTTTTTGATGCCTAGTTCTACTGCTGACTTAATATATAATAGTGTGAACATGTTTTCAGGCATTTATATGCATTTAAAAGTGAAAAAAAAGGGTCGTTCTCTTTATGGTGATTTTCACTTCATGACGGTAGCCTGGAAGCTAACCCACCATATAAGTGGGGGCCCTCCTGTACAGTATTGTATACAGAGGTAGTGAAATATTTAGGAGTTACCTCTAAAGCTGCTACTTCTTGTTTCAAGGTTGACAGACTCTCTCCCTGAGGACTGCTGGCTGTCACGCTCCGGAGTAAACCCCAAATTCTGGAACGTGAGCCACTTTCATCTCCAACCTGCAAATTATTATTATATTCACAAAGAAGCACTAAATTCATTAGAGGTAAAATCTCTATTTAAAGGGCTAATAGGTAGGTGTCCAATAATGCTGATTGTTCAGTAAATCTGAATGTTAAAAAATAGCAAGAAAAACACTACAGTACAGTAATACCGTACAAAGTACAGTTTTGAGCAGAAAAGGTTTTGATATAATACAGTTTATAAATTTAATAAATTGAATAATATAAATTTTATTTAATTGCATTATGCACTGATACTGGACTGCTGCTATATACCGGACTAACACAATGCCAACATCAGTATCCCTCCAGACTCCAAGCAGTGAAGTTGTGTAGTAGTATACAATACATATGTATACGCAATTTTTTTTCTACAATAGACCCTTATATTACACACTAGTTACATGCCTGAGAATGCTGTGCTAGGTAAATCCGTGTTAGATAAACTGAAGAACTTATGGGAAAAATAGGGTTACATTCTTGGGAGCCCCAAAAAAGCCAAAGAATTTTTTTTTAGACCTCCAGGTCTTACAAAAATGAAAGTGAATGTGTAATTGTTGTTCATTGTCATGATGTATTATGTTGTTTTTACTGATTAAAACTACAAATGCAACAGAAATACAATGGAACCTTGACTTATGAGTGTCCCAACATACGAGTTTTTTGAGATACGAGCCATCCCTGGGTCGATTTTTTTATCTGAGTTACGAGCCAACATTTGAGTTACGAGGCAGCTCCCCCCCTTCCCCCTCAACCCAAAACCTGGACACCTCGCTTGTTTATCTATGATTTCATGCTTTAATTCCATGGAAATCATTCTCTTTTTCATCTCAGCACTGTCCTTTACAATTACTTTCTTAGGACCCATGCTTAGAAAAATGAAATTTGGCCAAATGACTGTCAAAAGTGTAAGCAAAGCTTAAGAGAACTGCTCCCACAGCGAGGTAAACAGTGCAATGAGTTGGCAGCGTTCGTGGCAGTGTGTGAGGGGCTTGGACTTCCAGCAGGCATGCATGAGCGTGTTTGATAGGAGTGAATGGAGACAAATGGTTTTTAATACTTGACGTGCTGTTGGAGTGTGAGCAAAGTAACATTTATGAAGGGGTTCAGGGAAACCGGCAGGCCGGACTTGAGTCCTGGAGATGGGAAGTACAGTGCCTGCACTCTGAAGGAGGGGTGTTAATGTTGCAGTTTAAAAACTATAGTGTAAAGCACCCTTCTGGCAAGACAGTGATGGAGTGAATGATGGTGAAAGTTTTTCTTTTTCGGGCCACCCTGCCTTGGTGGGAATCGGCCAGTGTGATAATAAATAATAAAATAATATTATTAGTATTATTATTATTATTAATTTAGGTAACTAGAACACAGATCCAATTCCCTAGACCAAGAGCCCCTCACTAGTGTCAAGGTTCCTTGATGCTAGTCAGGGGCTCTTGATCTAGGGAATTTTATCTGTGCTCCAGTTCACTAAATTAATAATAATAATAATAATAATAATAATGACAGAGCTTCAGTTCCATAAATTAATAATAATAATAATAATACATAACACATACGTAATAATAATTCAGAATGATGCCACTAGTTGACACAGCTAATGGCAAAACATCCCGTAAGCAGTCCACATGTTTACATCACTGTAGCAGCAGTTCTCTCGTGCTTGTTTGCATTTTTTTACAGTCATTTGGCAAAATTTCTGTTTTTTAACCATGGGTCCTAAGATAGTAAGTGCAAAGAACAGTGCCGAGAAGAAAAGGACAATGGTTTTCATGGACATAACCATCATACACTGTACCCTCAACATCCCCCACCCTCAACATCCCCTACCCTCCACCTCCCCCACCCTCAACATCCCCCACCCTCAACATCCCCCACCCTCAACATCCCCCCATCCTCAACCTCCCCCACCATCACTGCTCCAAGTGTCTAAGTACATATACACTTCATATAAAGTTTTTATACGATATTTCTTATTTATAAATACAGTTTCAGCATTTTCCTTAGAAAACTAGTGATCCACTGCAGTTAGCCTCAAAAATACTCTGTTTTCTCTTACAATAAGAGCATGGGAAGATACCATGGTCAAAGTTGGACAGAAATGGCGGATGCTTCCGCCGCTGCCTCTGCCACCATATTATGGCCTATTTTATTCATTCTAGAATATATATCATGTTTCTGTGTTAATTATATTGTTTATTATGTCATATTAGATGAATTGTGATAGGTAAATAAGCTGTACAGTTGATAATAGAGTCATATTCAAGTATTTTTTTCTTAAGTCTCCAGAGTGCAGGAATGGGTTAATGGCTTTTCAATTAATTTCAATAAAGAAAATTAATTTGATATATATCAAATTAGTTGATGACTGTGAAGAGAGTGGAGAGTTATGCTGTGGCCCTATTAGGCTGAGGTGGATGGTAGAGGTTCTGGTACTGAAGTTGATGGTTGTACTGGAGTGTGCATAAATTATGTAATGGATTTGTGGGCTATTTTACCTTGCAGTACATTATACAGCTGATGATAAGACATCAGCTGCTCTAGACACCATTTCAGAGCACTGCTTCTAGAGTTGTCAGGGTCCTCTTCAGTGAAAAAGTACAGTGGACCCCCACTTAATGATCACCTCCCAATGCGACCAATTATGAAAGTGTATTTATGTAAGTGCGTTTGTACGTGTATGTTTGGGGGTCTGAAATGGACTAATCTACTTCACAATATTCCTTATGGGAACAAATTCGGTCAGTACTGGCACCTGAACATACTTCTGGAATGAAAAAATATCGTTAACCGGGGGTCCACTGTATCTTTAATCCTTTCAGGGTCTAGAGACCAAATTTCAAAGTGTGCAGCAGTGTCCAAGAATTTTCAAAAAATTATTTTTTTATTTTTTCTTATGAAATGGTAGAGAATCTTTTTCGGAAGGTAATAAAACAAAAAGTATGAAATTTGATGGAAAATTGACGAAATTATGCTCTCGCGAATTTTGATGTGTCAGCAATATTTACGCATCGGCGATTTTGCCAACTTTGACTCCCATTTTAGGCCAATTACATTATTCCAGGCAATCAAATTCTTAGCTATTTCACTAGTATTACTTCTATTCTGTCGATTGAGCACAAGAATTCACCAAGTCAACTGTCTCAACTACAAAATAAAGTGATTGGAAATTGGTAATTTGGCCAATTTAATGCAAAGTTAAAAATACTCCAATTTCAAAATAGGGTCCAGAATAAACAATGCAGGCATTCCTGGCACTAAACTAACATTTCCCCTATTCATTAGTTATGTTTTCATGCTTTACTAATGAATTCCATTTTGATTTTTTATTCACATAATGAATTTTTATTCAAACCAAAAAATAGAAGATTTACTGTTATGCAATATTGTAATATAATTTAATAAATAATATCACCACATTTGTGAACGTATATTAGACCCACCAGCAGGTGTGTATTATGTGTGTGAGGTCATTTGTTTACTCTCTAACATTGACAAAAATTTAACATTTCCACTACTTTGAGCTCAGTTTAAAGCCATTTCCAGTACTAAAACCAATCAAAATCATTCTATTTCTGTAGTATATCTTCCATTCTATCAAATGAGATCAAGAAAGCACAAATACAACTATAAAAAACATATGAAAAAACGCTGCAAAGTTGCTGTTTTAATCGAAAATTAATCTCAGTTTTTTTTTCTCTCATCATGCACTATGTGCTGCAGGATTTGTTTTATGTGGTGCACACATACCACATAGATGCATTCTCTCATATCTAGGCCAAAATTTACTGCTCACAGCTTATTAGAGTGAGCTGAGCTCATGACGTAGACCTACGGTTTGGGCCCTCAATGTAAAGCTGTAGATCTACGGCAAGGACCCTCAAAGGGTTAAGTCAATAAGTCATGATAGTGGAATTCTTTGTACATAGCAAAACAAAACTGTAATTATACAGTGTAACCTTTACAAAGAAATAAATCTTTTATCTTTTTTTTAAGTCAGTCAAGTCAGTAAATCATTAAGTCAGTAAGTCAGTCAAGTCAATCAGTCAGTCAGTCAGTCAGTCAGTCAGTCAAGTCAGTCAGTCAAGTCAGTCAGTCAGCCAGTCAGTCAAGTCAGTCAGTCAAGTCAGTCAGTCAAGTCAGTCAGTCAAGTCAGTCAGTCAGTCAATCAGTCAGTCAGTCAAGTCAGTCAATCAAGTCAGTCAATCAACTCAGTCAATCAAGTCAGTCAGTCAGTCAAGTCAGTCAGTCAGTCAAGTCAGTCAGTCAGTCAGTCAGTCAGTCAGTCAAGTCAGTCAGTCAAGTCAGTCAGTCAAGTCAGTCAGTCAAGTCAGTCAGTCAAGTCAGTCAAGTCAGTCAAGTCAGTCAGTCAAGTCAGTCAATCAAGTCAGTCAGTCAAGTCAGTCAGTCAAGTCAGTCAGTCAAGTCAGTCAAGTCAGTCAGTCAGTCAGTCAAGTCAGTCAATCAAGTCAGTCAGTCAGTCAGTCAAGTCAGTCAAGTCAAGTCAGTCAGTCAGTCAGTCAGTCAGTCAAGTCAGTAAGTCAGTCAAGTCAGTAAGTCAGTCAAGTCAGTAAGTCAGTCAAGTCAGTAAGTCAGTCAAGTCAGTAAGTCAGTAAGTCAGTCAAGTCAGTAAGTCAGTCAAGTCAGTCAAGTCAGTAAGTCAGTCAAGTCAGTAAGTCAGTCAAGTTAGTAAGTCAGTCAAGTCAGTAAGTCAGTCAAGTCAGTAAGTCAGTAACTCCAAGACTTAAATGCTTACCCCTTTTCTTGCCACTTTCAGCAACACTTGTGTGCCTACTGGTGCATCATTGCTTGGCAGATACAAGATATGGCAATTAAAATATCAAAACACAATCCATAAACCCAGCTGACTCCTAGACACGTATGAACGAAAGGCTGGGACAGGGGTGGCAGGGGATGGTGGTATGTCTGCCCCATGGAGACAGTGGTCTCACCCACAGCAAGGCAGCGGCCTGAGCTAGGGAAATATCCTGCAGGCGATG